TAATATATACATAATATAATATATTATATCTAAGATTGACGTTATCATTAGAGGTCTCCCCTTTTAAATATGCTTACAGATTTCATAGGGGAGTTGAAACCTACCCAATATCACAATCGACTGCAATATGTCTTATCATGATTTTCCATTCTCCTCCCACCCCCTCCCAATCCCAAGATTCTCCCCTTTTTTCCCTAAAAAGAACTAATGAAGACATGCAGATATAATGTGAAACAACCATTTTGAGTACAGTTTTCATATACGAGAGAAAGAATCTTTATTGTGAGAGTTACAGACATTACTTGAACATGTTGTAAGAGCAAATAGGTAAAGTTCTAAACCAAGAAGTTTATTATGACGCTGAAAATGGAATTTCTTCGTATTTTCACAAAGTAGTCACAATATTTTAACAAAAGCCAATTTACTTACCTTTTCATAGAACTAAAATAGAAATTAATCCGGTAATGAGAATTAATAAAACAAATATGAGAAGATAGGGCAGAAATCTTCAGTAAACTGTAATGTACGGTAAAAGACTTTCTGAGATATTAAATTATTTCCAGACACTGATGAAAAAAATGTGGTCATTAACTTTCCTTAGGCGAAAAGTTCATAGACGATGGTCTGCTGTTTGTCGTGTTTATCATGTGAATGCAACTTTAGTATAAATGTCTTGTTTCTGGGAAGGGCCCAAATGTGTTTAAGGTATTTAAAAAAGTAAAAGGAATATATGTAAAAGGGACACGTAACATTACTTGTGCCGAAAGGACACTGACACCAACAGTTACTACACAATTATTTTACTTGCAAAGAAATTTCCTGTTGGGTATAAAACAATTCAAGTATTTTGCTATTTTTCTTTCAAAATACAAGAACAAAACGTTTGTCAAATTGATAACTTGATGCAACTGTTTTATATTGTGCGATTCTTAATCACAAAAGAACAAAAGTACAGCCAACAGTTCTGTACATTCTTTATTCCAATTCAAACAGATTTTTGAAACATTGTTTTTCTTCATCAATTATTTTAGTCTCTGAAAACTGAACAAGAAAAAAACTTAGGCAACAAAAACTAACATGACAATTTCGACGCTTAATACAGAGTTGTATTAAACGTAATAGGGCACGTTGTAATCGAACGGTGGAGATATTACTGGGAGAATAATCGAGTGTAGTTATTTCATTACACACAAGTTTAATTTTAATAGAACGTTAAAGAACAGGTCATCAATTGTTTGAAAATAAATGTCAGCCACTTTTCTATTCCGGAATCTCTAGTTCGTTGTTATTCTTGTAATAAAAAATAATCATGTGGAATGCTGAAAAAAGCAGGGGAAATGTGTTTCTTGAACTTTATTGCGTGCCATCTTTCTTTCCTTCAGGGATACACTTTCTCCCTCAAACAGAAAATAACCAAGGATACTCTCCTTCGATATATGATACAGTTTAGCAGTTCTGTGTTATTTCTATTCTTGAGGGGGGCACGATTTCCTCTGTTTTCTAATTTCTTTCTCCAGTTTCTTGCTCGCCAAGAAAATGGATGTGGAGTCGTCCATTTTAAGAACCTTTCTGGTAATTTTCTCCTGGACGAAGATAACCACTCTTTTGCCTGCAAAGGAAGTGAAACGGATGGCGTTATGCTTAAGAATACAAAAAATAATGAGAAACGGTAAAACATTAACAAAGCACAATCTATGTGGATCCTCTATATAGAGGGGAAGAGAGTCAGAATGAGATATACAGAGAGAGAGAGAGAGAGAGAGAGAGAGAGAGAGAGAACAATAATAACTTCGATGACGACAACAACATCAGAGAGGGGGGGGGGGGTTGATTATGGTAAAGTGAATACGAAGAATATTCCAACATTTTAGAATAAAGATGAATATATGCTTTCCTTCATTTTATAAACCATCCCGAGCTAACGGAAAATGCTGATGTAGACTACGATACCAAATAGTCCTAGGAAAACTTGAGAACGTATTCCAATAAGCTGTGCATTTAAGGTACACTATGGCAGTAGCCAACAGCTAAAAGATGTCAATTTTAGTGACAATTACTGAGTTTCAAACTTTGGGCTATTTTATTCTTGAAACATCTATTTTCTCGATAAAGCTTTTCAAAGTGCGTAAAAAGATAGGGTGCTGACCAAACGCATCATTGTTTTGTAATTGACCAACACGAAAATGTTTTGCTGGTTGGGTTTTTTTCCGGTGTTCTTAAAACGTTTATTTTATTTGGTGGATGACTCCGTTGAGCAGATATTTTTTTTTCTGAAATTACATTTCACGACTTCATCCAACTTTGCATTAATGCTTCTAAATAGTATGTCTGTCCAGTCAGTGTGGAACGAATTGAAGCTTTATTTTGATTTGTTACCCATTTTTTTGTCTGGGCATCCCATATAACACTACAAGAAAAGTAGCAGGTAATCGAAAAGTTTACAACCTTGGAAAATTAACCGTTAGTACTTTACAGATGGTATTTTCAGAAACTTTGTGTAAAATTATCAAGGCTGTATCAGTCCAATCCATTTCACAACTTCAGCACATATTTGTGCTTGTTTTGGTTTTTCAAACTATTTCATTTCAAAATCTATTTCTAAAACACCAGAGACCCAGCAATGTAAACGAGACAGTACAGCTTGCGATGCTGTCTGTGACAACCAGTGCTACACGCAGCGTAAGCGAAGCGAGCTGTTCTATTTATAGCCTGGGGCGGTAAACCTAAACATACTCGCGTTAGGCCTGTTGCTGTTTTAAAGTGGGTTGAACGAAACCAAGTTTTTAGTGTACTCTGAGGTTCCAAATAAAAGGGGGGAGAGTGGTAATAAATGGGGGGGGGGGGGGCATATTTACCAGATATTTAAAAAAGGGGGTAAGCACTTCCGTAACGAGTGACCATCCTAACAAACACAATAAAGAAGAGACCTAGATCTAACCCTAACCCTAACACAAACCCTAACCCTACTCCTACATCTACCGTTCATTACGGAAGTCATCCAAGAAAGAGGGGGGGGGGGGGCACATTTTCAGATTAATAATAGATGCAGTTCACATACATTTTGGGGAGTTGCGAAAGAGTACTGCTAGTAGAAATATACTTACTTTTTACATGCTTAATGCGAGTATTATTACAATATAAATCAATTACAAACGGAGATATAATTTTTTTAATTTTCGTTTTAAAGGTTGTTATAGAGATCCAAGAGAGGGCCTTGTTGTACTTGCTGGGTGTCCTTTTGCTCCGACTTTCTCAGGCGAAAAATTAATAAGCGTGGGGGGGGGGGGGGTGGTGTCTTAATAAAGTCCCGGGGGTGGGAATTTTCCCCAAAAAAAATAAGCAGAAGGGGGAGAGGGTAGGTATTTGAACCTCAGAGTAAACCCTTCAATTTGACAGACTGTTTAGGAAGGACGTATGAGCGAGGAGAATGAGAGAAAAGTGGAAAAAGAAGAATAAACAGGAATAAAGAAAGAAAAGAAAGAAAGAAAGAGAGAGAGAGGGGGGAGAGAGAGAGAGAGAGAGAGAGAGAGAGAGAGAGAGAGAGAGAGAGAGAGAGAGAGAGAGAGAGAGAGAGAGAGAACAATAATAACTTCGATGACGACAACAACATCAGGAGCAGGAGCATCATCAATATTATGGAGAAAGGGGAGGTAGACAACAACAATAACGATTATGAGCAGCAATAACAACATTAAAATTCTACACAATTTTGGCATATCAAATACAAGTAGACCTGGCTTCATAAATTTTTCAACTACAATGAAGGAGACGAGAAAAACAGACCCAGAGAGAAAAGTGGAGAGAGAAAAAAAAGAGCAAGAGAGATTCATATACAACTCACCATATCTGTGTCAAAAATCTAGATCTAGTCTAGATCTAAAAATCTAGATATAAAAAGATAGCATGCATCGTTTTCTAGATCTTGACTGGTAGATGAGCACTGAATTAGACCTAGATAGATCTGAACCAAAGAAACTACCGCCAGATGCTAGGAAGCTTCGATCTGAAACCTACTTTTTGCGATAGTTCTATTTACATTTATATCTATATCTGCTTAAAACACAAGGTGCGGCACTTTGTACAATTGCAGACCCGTTTGTTTACATGACATCCATTGTGGAAGTAAATTTAGATCATAGATCTAGATCTAGAGATTCCTGATAGCCTAGATAATCGATCTCTAGATATTATCTAGATCTAGATATACAGATTTTATATTTGGATTAGATATAATATTTTAATTCAATTTAGATCTTAATAAGAAACACACTACAGGGGCACTAAGTGCAAACGATACCGCAATCAGGAGTGCCCAAGTCACAACACACGCTTTCATTCATAGTGAATACAAAAGTGTGTGTGTGGGTTTTTTTTCGTTGAATAATAATAATAATAATAATAATAATAATAATAATAATAATAATAATAATAATAATAATAATAATAATAACAATAATAATAATAATAATAGATAGCATTTTTATAGCGCATATCCCCGCTCAACAGCAGGCTCTATGCGCTTTTCAAGCTTTATCTACTTATCCACCAATTGACATACCTTTCAGGGTCTTTAGGAAAACGAATTAAAAAAAACTAATTCAGGTCGTCTGTGGGGGTTTTTTCAGATCAGATTAGAGCAGTTAAAGGCGGTACACCACTTACAATGTGTGGTCATATGATCCGCTATGTTTGTTTTAGTTTACCGCCCCAGTTTCTATTGTCACGGGATTGGTCTGATTCGCGATCTGGCCCAAACTGTACTGTCTCGTTAACATTGCTAGTTCTCTGAAAACACTATGAGAGAAATCATATATGCGGATAACTTTAGAACGACAAATGTACGTCATTGGCCGATATTTATAGTAACAGCCATCTTGTTTGACGTCATTGAGGGATTCCCACTTTGTTCTCGTTCACGGTGGCAACAATACCGCAAAGCACTATTGCAGTATTTTAAAGCCTGTAGCTTACCGTGGTGTGGTGGCGGAGTGGTGTGTGAGCTTGTCTCCAAAGCTGAAAGTCCAGGTTCGAGCCTCGGTTGGGCCACGGATTCCCCCCAACCCTCCTGCCCACCCACCTGTAATGGGTACCTGACTTCGAGTTGGGGAAGTGAAGGGCTAATTTTTAAAAATATTTTTTTTCTCCAAAAATATACAAGATAACTGAAAAAGTATGTGATGTCGTGATTTTGATGGATTTGAAAAACAAAAAATTGGTCATTTTCCTACAATTGCCACCATTACCATGTCATTGATATAGCCAGAAATAGTGATTTTGACACTAAGGCCTTTTCTGTACACTCTCACACACACATACACACACACACACACACACACACACACACACACACACACACAGACACACACACACACACACAAACACTCTCTCTGCCTCCCTCTCTCCCCACTCTCCTCCCCTCTCTCTCCTCTCGCTCTCTCTCTCTCTCTCTCTCTCTCTCTCTCTCTCTCTCTCTCTCTCTCTCTCTCAATCTCACCCCCCACCACCATAAGAACCTCCCCAATTAGACTTTGGCCTCCACTTCTCTCTCGCTTTCTTTCTTTCTCTGTGTCTCTCTGTGTCTTTCTCTTTCTTTCTGCCCCCTCCCCTCTTTCTCTCTCTTTCTTTCTCTCGCTCTCTCACTCTCTGTCTGTCTCTCTCTCTCTCTCTCTCTCTCTCTCTCTCTCTCTCTCTCTCTCTCTCTTTCCCTCTGTCCGTCTCTCTTCTCCCCCCTTCTCCTCTCCCCCCTTCTCCTCTCCCCCCTAGTATTTACAGCACAGACTTTACGCCAAAAGGACTATTTCTGGCTAGCCAATGACACTAACCTCAAACCAAAATCACTCTATGCAACAAACACTACCATTGTCATTTTGGCAACGCTGAAAGCACTATTAGTAGCGTTTATAGCACAGACTTTCACGCTAAAGAAACTGCCATCAGATGTCGTAGAATCGTAGGCAATATAATCTATTATACAGCTATCTATCATTATTTTCAGCCTCTCAAGCCCAATTCACTACCATCTTGCAAAATCCACTGTCGCTTTTGTTTATAGTACAGGCCTTCGTGTGTCAAAATCACTATTTCTGGCTATATCAATGACATCACACTCAAGCATAGCTCTATGCTCTCAAGCAAAATAAAAGCAAAAATTACTCTTCAAGTAAACGACAACACCCTCAATGACGTCAAATAAGATGGCTGCTACTATAAACATCGGCCAATGGCGTACATCGGTCGTTCTGAAGTTATCCGAATGTAGAAATCATACGTGGATGGCATTTTTTGTTTATTGATCCGCATTGGTCACGGAGAAAAACGGCGAATGCCATGTTAAGAACGCAAACATAAATTTTTACTCTTGCTCCTCCTGGTGTACATATGAAACCAGTCTGATCATGGTCTTGATGAGCACAAAATCCACCGAGTCTGTCATTTCTAGCAGTTGTTTAAATACAAAAGCTGGAAAGTTGAAAGAATAATATCTCCAGTGCGATGCGCCTCGGGTTAATCATCTTCCTGGTGTGTTTCTTTTAATAGGTGCGCGTTCTGAAATATTGAATACAACTTGCAAGGATATTCTCGTAATGCTACTAACGTCCAAGAAAATGTGCTTTCAGAACCTGCTCATTTTTCGTCCAACCCCATCTTTAACACAACTCCCTGAATGGCATGGTTATAAAATTGAATCGTAAAAAAGAAGAAACGGTTTTTAAACAGAATAAATTCAAGAAAAAAGGAAAGAATACATACTTTCATTTTTGTGCATATCCAGTCCGCTGGTGTTGTCCCATGTGTCATCCCGAAAAATGTTTTGTACACTATCCATTGCTTTCTTCCGCAACGAATAATTTGGATACAGTGGTCTATTAAAACCGATTACATCTAGGGAAGCTAGGCCCCATAATGTATACGTAAGTGTCACAAAAAGAGCAGCGGAAAAAGTTAGTTTTAATAGTTTCCATATGTACCTCTTTGGCATTAGAGAAATCATGTCGTCGATTTCAAAACTCTCTGTGTACAAGCACGAAATGTTATTGTATTATTTTACTTTTTGCTCGAAGGAGGGTTGTTTTACGAGGATGAAGTCACACCACTATAAATGTTCAACAGCGCAAGTTACATGTTCGTATACTAAATTATTTACCGGAATCATTTTCTACAAATCTGCTTGCCACACACTGTAGATTCTTAAGGCTATGAAATTGGATCGGCTCTCAGAAAGGCTGAGGCCAAACCATTGATCTGCTACAACAGCTGCAGCGAGCTTAAGAGTGTTCTCATTTTGAGACCGGAAAGTCTATATTCTTTATCATGTTTGTTCTCACTCTGGCTGATATCAGAGGTTATATATATACATGTATATATATACAGAGAGAGAGAGAGAGAGAGAGAGAGAGAGAGAGAGAGAGAGAGATTATTAACATCAGCGATAGTGACGTCACATGTGCCAATTACAGGCGCATAGATGCGATACCGTTGAGGGCAAGAAGGCCAGTCTCAGTACCACGTACCAATAACGATGGTGCACTCTCGCGTCGTGCGAGGGTGTACAATTCGGCGTGAAACATGATCTCAACTTTCTCATTAGCCTGAGTATTTAGTATAGATAAACAGTTAAAAACTTGTTGAGAGGTATTGTTCAAGGTCGTCTGTGAGGTTAGTCGAATGGTGAGTTTAATTAGCACTCAGAATACACTATCTGATCTAAAGCTCTGAAAGTCCCAAAACCATGATCTTTCTACCAAAACAAAAAGAAAAGACGCTTATTATCAGTATAAACACGAGCCTATCATCGGTGGGTAGCTGTGTCTATAGTCTTGACACGCATGTGCATGCCTTTGTGATGGGCATGATATCTAAGTAAATTTATAACTGGTGTTTGGGGTGTTTGTTAATATGTGGCGTATACTTTTTTCGAGAGCTAAGGAGTAAAAGTTCTAAAAGGTCACAATAAAAAGACTTTAACGCATAGACATCTGTTAATCGATTTCGATACGGTATCTCTTGAGCCGCTGTTAACATACAATTATAAGTTCTCTGGCTACTATCGAGCAATTTTGGCTCTCTGATTAATTCCCAAAAGCCACAAATTTGATTGGCATGAAAGACAGTTGGGGAAGGCTGGCAATTGTATCGAGTTTCTTCTTCTTTCTTTGAGGTTGTAGTACCCCTACTAAACCAGTTTGACCTGACAGACAGACTTGTTTAGTTTTAGTAGAGGTTTTACGGCGCTCGCAACTGCATAAGGTCACATGAACGTCAGAAGATTAGATGAGTTACAAGAGAGTAACAGAGATAAAAAAAAAAGAAGGGGAGATAAGGACAATAGATGTTTGATAGGAGAGAAGGAGCAAACCACACCAGAGCACCTGCCAAACACCGACAGACAGACTTGAAACAAACAACCACCTAAATGATTTAAGAAGCATGGTAGAGAGAGAACTACTTAAATGTAGCACTTAAGTTCTGGATCTAACAAGATGTATGGATTCTAAAAATTCATAATGTGGGCACTTACATGACCAAAATGATAAATTTATAGTGCCGATAGTTCTTCGAAATGGGGACTTACTGTCTCGCAGTATGGCGTCACTCTTCAAATTCGTACCTATTTGGGTCAAATAGGGTCTAATAATGCTTCAAACAGCTAACCAAACGACAAAATTGGTCGTCTTATCAAGAGAATGAATAAGATGTTTTTTGTCCTGTGATATGATCACTTTTTCCAAACAGCCACCACACCTCCGTCCCCCACCACTCA